TGCGCAAAAAAAGACCATAGACTCTTTGGTGACAAAGAAGATCAAAACACACAACCAGAAGAAGACAATAAAGTCAAAGCTCCTACATCGAAAGCCTCCAAGAAAAATATGAATTGGTCCCAGGCCAAGGAAGAGCTCAAAAAGGATTTTGAGAAGCAAGAGAAGTAGAGGAAAAACTGGGAAGAGAATTGAGAGTAATGCAAGAAAATCATGAAAAACAAGTCAACAGCTTGCTAAAGGAGACCCAAAAAAATACTGAAGAAAATAACACCTTAAAAAACAGACTAACCCAAAGGGCAAAAGAGGTCCGAAAAGCCAATGAGGAGAAGAATGCCTTAAAAAGCAAAATTGGCTAGATGGAAAAGGCAGTCCAAAAGCTCACTGAAGAAAATACTTCCTCAAAAATTAGAAAGGAGCAAATGGAAGCTAATGACTTTATGAGAGATCAAGAAATTGTAAAACAAATCCAAAAGAATGAAAAAATAGAAAACAATGTGAAATACCTTACTAGAAAAACAACTGACCTGGAAAATAGATCCAGAGAGATAATTTTAAAATTATTGAACTATCTGAAAGCCATGATCAAAAAAAGAGCCTAGACATCATCTTTCAAGAAATTATCAAAGAAAACTGCTTTGATATTCTAGAACCAGAGGGTAAAATAGAAATTGAAAGAATCCACTGATCACCTCCTGAAAGAGATCCCCAAAGGAAAACTCCTAGGAATATTGTAGCCAAATTCCAGAGTTCTCAGGTCAAGGAGATAATATTACAAGCATCCAGAAAGAAACAATTCAAGTATTGTGGAAACACAATCAGGATAACACAAGATTTAGCTGCTTCTACATTAAGGGACCGCAGGGCATGGAATATAATATTCTGGAGAGCAAAGATCATAGGATTACAACCAAGAATCACCTACCCAGCAAAACTGAGTATAATCCTTCAAGGGAAAAATGGTCATTCAGTGAAATAGAGGACTTTCAAGCATTCTTGATGAAAAGACCAGAGTTGAGATTTTCAGACAAAGGCTGGAAGACCTTGACAACTGGGTGGGTTGTAGAAGGGTTTCTTTTTGGGGTACAAGTAGATTACCTTATTTTTGTTGAACTACCTTTTGTATTTATTCTAGAAATACTTAAATATGTTCATGTCTCCTTTGATAGAATGCAAGCTCCCTAAAAACAGGGATTGCTTGATTTTTTTTGTCTTTGTATCTCCAGTACCTAGCATAGTGCCTGGCACATAGTAGGCTTGTGATAAATGCTTGTTGGTTGACTAGATGGCCAATGGAGGCCCTTTCCAACTCTGAAATTCTGTGATTCTGTGAAGATGAACTTTAATAGGGATATTTTTAAAAAGGTACAAGATAGAGGAGACATAGTTAAAGAGGCATTTGTCTGACAAAGGTCTCAGGGTTTTAGTACATTACTAGTTCAATACTAGTGAACAATAACAATAATAGCCAGCATTTATATAGTGCTTTAAAGTTTGCAGAGCATATCGCGTATTTATCTTCACAACCCTGTGAGGGTAGGATGTTATGATTCTACAGATGAGAAAACTGAGGCAAAGAAAAGTGAAATGACTTGCCCAGGGTCACACAGCTAGTAGGGGTGTGCATCAGATTTTGAACTCGGGTCTTCCTGACTCCAGGTCTAGCACTCTTTGTACAATATAGTTTATATACTGTGCCTTAAACACTATATTCCTAGTTGATGATAAATAAAGAAAGTAATACCCTAAGCTGTGTTGAGAGGAATAGAATCCAAAAGAGGTGAAGTGTGGTCTGACCACATCTTGTGTATTAGAGTCAGTGCTTGGCACCACCTTTTAAGACTGACACTGAGGGGTGCCCAGAAGAAGGTGACCAGGTTAGTGAAACAACTCTATATCAAGCCATATGCGGAAAGGCTGAAGAAAATGGGGATATTTAACCTAAAGGAGAGAATATTTAGGGAAAGGGGAATGGAGACATGATAAAGTACCTTAGAATATTTGAAGGAAATGTGGTAGAGATTAGACTTATTTTGCTTGGCCCCAGAGGCAGAAACATAAGCAATGAGTAAAAGTTGCAGAGGCGGTTTTAAAAGATGTAGAAGCCTTCCTCAGTATAAGAGCTATGCAGAAGTTGAATGGCCAGTTATCTCCCCAACCCCAGAAAGTGACCTTTGAGATGAGAAGTCCAGGGACCATGTCCCCAAGTCTGGGGAAGGGAGGGAGTCCCTTCACCTCTGGGACTCCACGCCGGATGAGTAAAAACTCACCCAATCCACAGGACCAGACTATGGTTTACATTCCATCCGGCTGTCCATTACACCAGGGCCCATCCCATGAAAGGACTTTGCTATCTTCTCCGCCGGGGACCTCATGCATACGTACTCTCTTCCCTTTTCACTTCTTGCTCTTGCTATGGGAACAGTAATCAAGTCAGCATTACCATTGCTACTGGAAAGGACATGACAACCTACTGCCTTACACCTCCACTTACAATCCCCGGGCCCAGCCCAAATCCCCTTCCCTGGACACCTCTCCCATTTATGTGTTGGAGAGTAAAATATAAATTCGAAGGCAGAGATTTTCTCACTTTATTTTTCATCCCCAGCATCTAGCCCAGTGCTTGTTGATTATTTTGTTCCTCACAAGAAGTCTTCAAGCAAAAGCTAAATGGGCACTAGATGAGGCTGTTGTTGGGGGAGTAAGTTGGGCTGGAGACCAAGATCCTTTCTCATTGTGATTCGTCAGAGCCCTTCCCTTTGCAGGGTGGGGAAGTCCCTTAATGGGGAAGGACTGCCTCTTTGTTCCCCTCTACAAACCTACACAGCAGAGTAGCTGGTAAATTCATTTTGATTTCCTGGGCTCTCCCACTCTCTGAATCAGAGCATTTTGGGGATGTGATGAGACCATAAGACATTTGTTTCAAGGAGCAGCTAGGTGGCGCAGTGGATAGAGCACCAGCCCTGAAGTCAGGAGGACCTGAGTTCAAATCTGGTCTCAGACCAAACACTTGACACATACTAGCTGTGTGACCTTGGGCAAGTCACTTAGCCCCGATTGCCTCACCAAATTAAAAAAAAAAAATTTAAGACATTTGTTCAGAGAAAACACCCAGGTCTTTTATTTATGAAAATTATCCTTAAGTGAATGGACGGTTTTATTTGTGAGCAGGTAACCATTAGGTTAACTACTTAATTCCACACACAAAAAAGCTTCAAATGAAGCTCTGCCTGCTTCAGTCGGCTTTGTTGGCCACTGCATCTCAGCTTCTAAACCAGCACTCAGTTATTACAGATGGTTCTTTTTTTTTCTTTAATATTGGTAAAGTATTTCCCAAAATAGAAATTAATACCCTTGGTGGATTACAGAGGAGTTGGAATCATAGAGACCAGAACCACAGAGGTTAAAACAGTTGTGGTATATGGGCTGTCTGTCCTACAGACCATGTAAATGGAGGGCACTAGACCCTCCCATATCTACAACCTTCTCCAACCCCTTATTTAAGATCTCTCACTCACAATTTTAATAAGTACCTGGAGCAATAGCATTCTGACCAGTGTGGTAGTGATCAAAGCAATTAATATTTATGTTAGTGCTTACTGGGGAAGATAAATAAAGTTTCTACCTTTAAGCTGACTTGGGTAGAAAGAACTATAAAGAAGCATTTGGCTAATGTTGACAGAAAAAGACAAGAATTCATTTCCACTGCTTGACAGTTTGGTGACTTCACCTGCTGGGAATTCTGTGTTTTATTTTGGCATTTTCTGAGAAGTAAAGTGCCCTTTCTCTCTGACATCTCTTCCAGTGCCCCTTCTACTCCTTCTGCCGACACAATCCTCAAGGCATAAAATCTTAATTCAGAATAACCTTAGAAGTCTGCCAAGGCTGCTTCTTACACTCGTGGCATGCATACCCGTAGGCTGGGCCAAGCCATTTGTTCCATAGTTGGGTATAGGAGGCTAAGGGACCCATTTGTAGTCTTACAAGATTTACTGTCATAATGGGGCTGAGGATCATATTAACAGGTGCCTTATTTACAAAGCTGAAAATTAAGCCATTCCCTCTACTTATAATTTCCCCTAATTTGCTCATCATTTCCTGTAGCAATTGGTGAATATCCTTATTATTTCTTGTGACAAGCTCAGCTTTCTGCAGTCAGGAGGCTCTGGTTGTGTTGGGATGAAGAAAGTCCATTACAACAGTGCCTGCAATGTGCTTAATCTTTATTATTGATTGATAGAAGAGTACATGTTCATTCATTTATTAATTTCCCTTGATTTACACTTTTATGATATTTGTGGATATTGTCAGTTCCCCAAAAATGTGTAAAAAAAGTTTTAGTTTTATCATGGCTTGTAGGGGCATCTTCTCACAGCAAACTATGAAATTGATGGAATAATTTAAATAACCTGGATCCTGGAGCATCTTCAGTAGCAAAGTCAACATGTTTCTACATGCATTTCCTGCCCCCAACTCCCCATTATTCGGTCTTCTGTACCTTCCAACCCTTTCAGAGGTTTTTACCTCTTTAGGACCAGGGCCCAATAGGGATAGCCCCGATTTAAAACCACATTTGTGGGTTGAAGTTCAGGGATTACTTATTGTATTCCGTTTCATCTCTTCCCTGATCTCAGCCCTACTCCTGAGACACAAGTCAGGCCTCTCTCTTTGGACAAGGTAACGGAATTGGAGAACAAGGTACGTAATGGGAAAAGTGATGTGGTTACAGTTCAGACGCCTGGGGTTTGGTGTTCTGTTCCAGCCATCAGTTGTACATTTGGCCTCCTCCGTTCCCTGCATTGGGGTGGAGGCAGCAGCTCTGAAGCCTCCTTCTAGCCAAGTCCCTGCTCCTTCCCCCTCAGATCATTTCTTTACACTAGAAGTCCCTCTGAGGCCATTGGCGTCAAGGCTGTGCTGCTGCTGCTGCTGCTCAATTTCTTGTTATCAATGTAACAAATTATTTGAGGTTAAAGGAAGAAAAGAAAATGGCACCACTGCCGAACTCCACAATCAATTTTTTATTGAAATGCATAAGTAGGACAGTTACAAGAATGTACAAAAACGAACATACACTGGTGGCTATTCCCATCAGGTCAATCTGTGCATCTGGTGGTAACTTAGCAACATCCCCTTTCATGCTCATTTCAGCAAAGATTTTACTTTTGGGGGTGAGGACATCAAGAAAGTGGTGGAATCTCTTCTCCCCTCACCATTTCCCTTGACTTCTTTTCCCCTCTTACAGTCCCTGAACCAGATGGCAAGAAGTCCACTGGCATACATTCAGTTGTCAATAACTCCTAAGAGAACCAGCTTGCTGGAAGGCAGGTAATTCAGTTAAATAGCTTTTTTTTTTTTTTTTTTTTTTTTTGGCACTATTCTGTACAGAGTTTCCTCTCCAGCTCCAGCCAGAGGGGAAAAAATGCAGGAAACATCAAAGCATTTTGTACACACACACACACACACACACACACACACACACCCAAAATCCTATACTACAAGGTCTAGAAAGTCCTAAAAGGCTTTTTCTCTCTATACTTATTTAAGGAGAGAAGAGAAATGGATGCTCTCCCTTCTACAGTTAACATTCACAGGAGGAAACCCCCTATTTAAAAAACACACCAAAAAAAAAAAAAAAAAAGGAAAACAAAATCAAATCTTTTTTTTCCCCTTCATCTTTGTCCAAAGCTATTTCATAGAAAAAATCAACAGTAAGCAGGCTTCAAGAGATTTGTCATGGTTCCATTTTCTTTCTCCTCATCCTCAACCCCACCCAGTCACTACAGAGCCACCATTTAATCAATAAAAACTATGCAAGGCCACTGGCCATGGAGGACCCCCTGAAGCCATCTCCCACCCCCCACCCCCTCCTCGGCACATTCACAATTTCCTCCAGTTTACTCCTACAAGAAAACTCCCTCTTATCGGTAAGTAGAAGGTTACAGGTTTGGTCAGTACCAACACCCACTTACTATGGACTTTTAGCTTCTGGGACAGTTTTCTGATTCTTGAGATGCTCTTTGCTAGATAAAACAAGGGGCCTTCAGACAAGACAAGACTAGTTACTGCTTCTCAGCCTTCCTCTTGCAGTAGTTGCTGTAGGTTTCCTCAAACATTGCTTTACAGGGGAAACAAGCCTTCAGCTTGGAGCAAATGAGGAACGAGCCCCCCATCTTTCGGTGGAGGGAGTAAGTCTCCTCTGGCGGGGGGACGAGACGGTGCTTCAGCATGATGGGAATCAAACCATGGATCTTCTCAGTGGTGCTCTGGCTCCCAAAATCAAACGGTGAGTCCGAGGCAAAGGCCTCTCCCAGGATGAGAATAGCGTCTAAGTGGGCATCTTCCATGGCCTGGGAGGGGTGGAAGAAGGAAGGGAAAAGAAAAGAAAATTAGGAAGACAGACCTCTGAGGCATTCATTCCCAGACATTCGGGACACAGCTGGTCACTAGAAATGGTTTATTTTAGGGTTCAACAGCACCAGAGGGGAAAGTATTTTCAGCCTTGCTCAACTTCTCTCCAAAGGACATTGCAGTTGGCTGCATTTAGTACTGATCTCATCCCGACCATTTAAATCTCTTAATTAGGTCAAAGTCAAATGCAGCTGTGGCCTAAGACGGGACACCTTCTTAAGTGAAATGTACTAAAGTGGCTAGGGAGGCTCCCTCGGGGCTGAACTGGTACAGTTCAGAAAGTGCAAACTTAAGGTTACAGGTTTTAAACAGCACCATCGTCTAGCCTGGGAAGGGGGTCCTCAGCTTACCTTCACTTCATAGCCAGTGAGGAACTTCATCTCTATAGACTTCTTCAACACTGTTTCTCTGTCCTGATCAGCCGCAGCTCTGATTAACTAGACACACAAAGGTAAAGGGGCATGACTCATGGCCACAAGTTGACTCCTTGGGTTTTAGTAACCACTCTTAACTTCAGCTAGCTGCCTTCCAAATGCCCAGTTTCGAAGCAAAAGGGGAGAAAGACGTATGGAGGCAGATGCTCAGTTTGTGGGAGCCCTAAGCCAGCTCCATTCTCTCCTGCAATAGCTATGACCAGCACTTCCAGGAGGTGGTTATTTTCCTGGCTGGGGGGAGGGGATAGGAATGCTCTTTTCCTTTGGTTCAGATAATGTAACAGAATGTGAATCCCATTAAAGAGCTTCAAGTCCATGTGGGCTTTCCAAGGCCACTCCACCTCCAGCCAAGTTCACATGTTTCTCCTGGGACTGAATACTCTATGGGCCCACACCCAGATACAGCACAGAGGTCAAGTTGTACTGGAATCCAAGCTGAGATTCAGGGTCAGTTCTGCTAGAAGGTCCCTGTCTGCAGCTGGCCTTCCGTACCTGGATGTAAAGGTCAGTGAATGATGCATCATATTCGCGGGTTGCTCCAAAGTCAAGGAGAGCCACCTGGAGAGGACCAGAGAAGAGGGTAAGAAGCTTCTGGGTGGGGTAGGTAAGAGGAATGGGAATGAGGAGAGGGACTGGAAAGCAGCTCTCTATTCCCTTCCACTCAGGAACAGTATGGGCCCAGGTATCCCAAGGCCATGGGTGGGGAGGGAATGTCCTCATTTACCGTCCTCCCCACCTCCAGGCACCAGAGGCTTTTCAACTACAACTTCATGCTACCTGGGCATGGACAGCAGGCACAGAACACTGGGAGCAAGATTCTTAGGCTCTGAGGGCAGCCAGGGCCACTGAGCTGGTGGCCTGAGGCTCCTTACCTTGTGCTGCTGGGGATCGTAAAAGAAGTTAGACCAGTTGGGGTCAGTCTGCATGAACTGAAACTCAAACAGCTCCCTTAGACACAGGACCAGGATATTGTAGCATATCTGGGGGGGAGAAGGGCAGGAATGGGGAGATGACAGCAACCACAAACACGTTCTAGTCGACCAGCTCTATTCTTGGGAGCTATGGAGCACCGTCACCCTCTGCTGGTGCTCTGTACACGGAGGAGGGAAAAGCCAGCACTCTGCTCTCCAGACTTACAGCAGAGCCTCTTGAGCGCCCAGTGGGGCAGAACAGTCAGGTCTTCCAGGTGTGGGAGAAGAAATGATTAAAGTTTGCCTCAGGATGACATCTGAGTCATCATGGAAAGGAAGCAGCACTGCAGGGAACCCCACTGGTGCCCTGAAAGGTACATTCCTCTGTTCACCTGCCTAGAGTATATATGCAAGGGACCCACCTGCTTCCCTTCCCTGTACTTCTCCCTGTCCCAAACCCATACTCTTTTTGGTCAAGAAAATTGGTTTTTCAGAGGTAGTGGACTCTGTGGTGTTATTCAGAACACAGGTGTGGACGGGAAAGGGCGGCCTTCAATCATCTACAGAAGTGTGAAGGCACCCTCGAGAACCTCACTCCACTGAACAACTGCCCACTTTGCTTCCCTCTAACTGAACTGGCATGCATCCCAAGCTGATTCCTAACCAAACAGGAAGCATACAGCTTGAGCATGTATGTGTATACTGGGCAAGACCTTGTGTGTTACTGCTCCCTAAGACCAGTGCCCGCAAGTGCAGTTAAAAACGTGCATGTCATCCCTCGTGCCTGCTACTGGTCTCCCATGTGGAAAGTGCTCATCTTTCCCAAGGACCAGTGACTCCTAGTGGTCACCACAGCCCTGGGTGCAGAAGCACTCGACCCACAGAAGGCTAACAGGTCATGCTGAGAAGACGGCTCCTCCCTAAACCCTGCAGTCACTCAGCTCTTCTAGACCCAAGTCAGGCAACGGCAAAGAACCCATGGCTGGCAGCGCCTACTCCCGTCTCCCTTGCTCTCCCCACCATCCATCCAGCTGGCTTCCCCAGCGAAATACCTCATTTCGAATTTCCTGGCTCAGCCCTTCTGCCTGGTCCAGGGGAAAGCCGGACACCAGCTCTGTGGTCAAGACGTGAGGACTACAAAGTTCATCTACGACCTCCGGCACATAGAAAAACGGATGATCCTTCAGCAGCTCCCTAGCCAGCAGAGGCACCAAGGAGAGAAAGGGTAAAGTACCTCCCCATCCACGCTCTCAGGGTGCCCTCCTCAGAGGGGGAGGCTGGAGTTCAGGAGGATGGCTGGGGACAATTCCTGTCTGCCCTGTGTGGGGGCAGGCACCGGACAGGCCAAGCCCCTCCCTCTGCAGCACTATGGATAAGGGGAGCAGAGGCTTACACCCCGGGCCTCCCCTCAGGACGGGGTCAGGGGACCAAAGCAGGGGGTGGCAAGGAGGGGGGCCCCTAAGGACACACTTGAACTTCTTGGCACAGGCAGCTTCTCTCTTGTAGTCACACTCCAGGGCCAGCTCCCGTCTCAACACATCAATCAGATGTTCTGGGAACAGGCCTGGAAGGGGACAAGGAAAAGTGGGAAGAGAAATGAAAAAGGTTGGCCCGGCCCTTCGAGGGCAACCAGGGGCCTCTAGACCTTAACTCTAGTTCCAGAGCCAGCCAGACCCACCCCAACCTTTCTCCATCTCCTCCTACCTTCAGGGAGTATATTGCTCATGCTGAGAACGGTCATCAGATTGTTAACGTCACTGTTGATGCTCTGGGCCACTCCAGGGTACTACAAGAGAAAGATGGACAGAGGAAAATGGAACAAGAGTGCCCCCACACCCACCCTGGCTGCCAGTGATGGGGTCACTGCACAAACCCCTCCAGGCCTGCTGAGGGCAGGGACAAGGCTATGTGTCCTCATCCCAGGATGACAGTTTTCTTGGACAATTTCACATGTACCAGGGTAACACAGACAGTACACAAGACTTGAGCCCAGGTCTTCCTGACTCCGTGACCTGTGGTCTACCACTCTACCAATGGGATCAAACTCAAACAGAAAGGGATCCCTGCTGCTGCAGACTGACTTAGAAAACCACAAATTAACATCATCTATGTTGTATTTTTATTTATATTGTTAAACACTTCCCAATTCCATTTTAATCCGGTTCAGCAGAGTTTTAAGGACCCAAAACAGCTGTGACTTTGACATCTCTGCACTATACCATGCTATACACACACACAAGAACTTAGTAAATTGTTGCTGAATGAATCTAACAGGCAAGTTTCTGAGGCTACCTCCAAATGCTAACTACCAGAGCTGGCTCCTTGTCCCGCCTTCTTCCAAGACGGAATATTCATGGGAGAGTCATGGGACCCCTAGGCCTTCTTCATCTCTGTCCCGTGATAAGGGAAGATGAGGCCTCCTCTGACAGATGGGAGGAATGTGCTGTTCACAGCTTAAAGAGCTGGTAATGGACACCTCCAACAAGTTAAGAGAAAAAGTACTGTCCAAACCCTGCCTCAAACACACTACTACTTACCCATCTGCCCAACCCAGTCAGACTGCAACACTGGGTAGGATACAAAACTCCACCAGGCTTCCAGGGCAAAACTCAACCTACCTGGATCTTCATGGCTACCTCCCGCCCATTTTTCATCCGGGCCAGGTGGACTTGCCCAATGGAAGCAGCAGCAAAGGGCCGTTCCTCAAAGTACTCCAGTTTATCCCTCCAGTTAGGACCAAGGTCATTGTTCAGAGTTTTCTAGAGGGAAAAAGGGCCCAAGAGAGAGGAGACCAAAATGAAAACTAAATTCTGATGGTTGACCAACACTAGACATGTTTGAAAAGCAGATCCCATGAGCCCATAAGGAAAGGAACAAAGTCCCTTTGGTACCATCACTCTTTTCAAGCTACTTCCAAACCAACATTTGGTCCCTCTCTGTTCCCTGCTCAGGGAGAAAGAAATTAACTCAGAGACCCCCTAAACAAACTATGCCTACTCTCTATGCTGGTTGGTGTCAGGGTTATCACTGGTTCCTTCTGCCCAGCCCCCAACCTCACCGTCATCTGTTTCAAGGGCATAAAGTCTGCACTTTGTCTCACACGGTCAAAGATCTTGGCCAGTTGGGGATTGATGAAAGCATCATCTGGGGGGAAAACAGAACAGAATAGTTAGCAGAATGATTTCTGGAAGGAAAGAAAAAGAAAATGATAAAGTTATGCCGGGTGTAAGGTTTTGTGGGGTCAGCAACCACATCCTCCAGTGTTACAACTGGAGGGGCTCAGGACTGGCTTCAGAAGCCACCCGGAAAAACCAAACAGGGACACAAAAGGTAGAATAGTGGGAAAGGGCAGAAGACCCTCTCAGCCACGCACTAGATACGTGCACTTGGACACGTCTCTCCAGCTCTCCATGCCCACCTCGGTTTCCCCCACTGTAAAACCTCAGAGGTGAGATTAGATGATTTCTAAGGTCCTTTGCATTTCTAACATCCTACAGGTCCTCAGTCAGAGAGTGAACTGACACGTGTTATCAACAAATATTTATCAAACACATTCCATATGAACCAGGGTAAGTGCAGGGGATACAAAGACAACATTGAAACAGTCCCTGCCCTCAAGAAGCTTATATTCTCTTGGTCAAGATATCTGCAAATGAGATACAAGGTAATAACTTTTCAGTAAGAGCTGTTCAAATCAAGGGTCTTCCGCTGACCCGAGAGCTGAGACACTGACTCTAGGGTCCTTTCTTGGCTGTACAGATCTCCTGCTGCCAACCTGCCCACCCCCAAGCTCCCACCGATGGTATCTGTTTTTTGTTTTTGGAGGATTGGGAAAGAGGAGGAATCAAAGCCCCCCCAGAACTGTGTCCTGTCCCCCTCCTCCTCCAGGTATTTCAGGTTCTGAGGTGCCACACTTACCCTGGATGCTCAGCATCTGCCCCAGCTTCAGGGCGGCTCCTCTCACCTTACACAGGGTGCTCACGATTCTCTCTGCATTTGCCTCAGAAAGAAAAGGACTGGAGTCCAGGACAGCCTTCTTTCCTGTTGCCACAGGACAAGAGGAAGGTTACCAGGCGGCCTGGAGGACCTTTCTCTCCCTCCCTCTCCTCTTCCCACAACCATACACAAGGACCGGCCTCTCTGGAGTTGTTCTAAGGAGCAGAATTTCCCTCCTGTGTTCTCTTCTGGTAGGGGAGGAGGAGGTAAAACCAAAGGCAGAAAGAGTAGGTACTAAGACCTAACGTGACCAAAAGAAGGGGCAGCAAGGAGGGACAGCCGTTAATACCATGCATCAGAAGGCGAGGCCCTGCCTGATAGCTCACCTTTCTACAGAGCTCTAAGGTTTGCAAAGCACCTTTCTCACAACAAGCCTGTGAAGAAGGTAATCCAAGTATTATCATCCCCATTGTACAGATGAGCAAGCTGAGACTCAAGAGTTTCTACGGCTTGCCTACAGTTCCCCCATGAATGCTGCTTCCCATGAAAAGCCCTTTTCTTCATCCCATGATGCGTACCAAAGAAACCGCTCACAAGTGACTGACTGTAGGAGTGAAGGCCCTTGTTAAAGTGGCTGTGTCTCAGAGCCTAAGCAAGACTCAGAAGAGGCAGAGTCCAGGTGTTGTTCGGTTGTGTTCGGACTCTTCGTGACCCATCTGGGGTTTTCTCAGCAAAGATCCTGGAGTGGTTTGCTATTTCCTTCTCCAGCTCATTTTATAGATGAGGAAACTGAGGCAAACGGGTGAAGTGACTGACCCAGGGTCACGTAGCTAGTGTCCGAGTTTCAGGCTGGATTTGAATTCAGGGAAATGAGTCTTCCTGACTCCAGGCGCAGCACTCTATCCACCGGTCCACCTCACTGCCCATGGAGGCCAGGCCTCCAGAAACACAAACCCAGAGACAGGTGGGGAGATGTGCACTGGACTCAAGTCAGGGATGCCCTCAGACAGAGCTGCCCAGGGGCAGATCACAGCTTACCCCTGTGTCACTCTTCACTCACTCATCAGGGGCTCTCATCAGTGCCCCAATCACCCAAGGCTTCAAGTCTCAACTTCCCGGGGCCCTTTTCTTCTGTGAACTACAAAATGAGGAGGGGGTGAAGCTGATGACCTAGTCTAAAATTCGCTCCCTGCCAGCTCTGCGTGTGCTCAAGGGGGAGGTCACCATATCTGTCACCTCTCCAGAAATCCCGAGGCCACTGCTTCTACACCCCAGACGTCCTGACCCAGAGAAGCACCCTAAAGGTCACAGACTCGCCTACATGAGGCCCAATGCATGTGTGTGAGCCCTTCAGTGACCACCCGTTAAGCGCTAGCAGCGAAAGCTCAGGCTCATTCCCTAGACGATCCCCACCGCCACCCAGGGCCTTGGACATCAGAGGTCACTCACCCCGTGAAGAACTAAAGCGTTTTAAAGTAAATGTTAAATCTAATTACTGCTTGGCTAAACTAGTGTTTAACTAACTGCTACTAAGTGCTCTCCTTTTCTCCCATCTCTCTCCTGTCCAGTCCACCCTGTATAGAGCTGCTAAAATATTCTAAAAACACAGATCTGTCATTTCCCCCAACAAAGCCTTTAGAAGCTTCCTTTTGCCCATGGGATAAAATGCAAACCTCTTAACCCCTCACTTAAGGGCCTTCAAAACCTAGGCCCACCCACTTTTTCCGACTCTATTCAATATTACTCCCATTCACAGTGGTTTGCTGGTCTAGTCCTGCCTTCTGAAGACCATCAATCAATCAATAAACATTTATTAAGTGCCTACTATGTGCCAGGCTTGTAGTAGAGAACACAAAAAGACAAAAGACAGTCCCTGCCCTCAAGGAGCCTACAATCTAAAGGGGGAGACCACATGCAAACAAATGTGTACAAAGCAAGCTAGAGTCCGGATAATTAGGAAATTAGCACTGGAATTAAGAGGGGTTGGAGAAGGCTTCCTTGCATTCATGATGACCGTCCCCGCCAAGATTCTGTCAAAATCTTTCTCTTCTTTCAAGGTTCACAAGTAAAGCCAGGTAGCATGGATAATGCAGAAATCTGTTCTACAAATCTATATATATTTATACTTGGTTCTATTTTTCTTGCCTTCTCAACGGGTGGGGAAGGAGGAAAGAGGGAAAGAATTGGAAACTAAAAATAAATGTCAGAGGTCATTTAGTCCCATCCTTTCATTTTATAGAAGAGGAAATTGGGGCCAAGACTTCAAGGTCACAAAGGCAGCAAGCAGCAAAACCAAGATTGGAACCGAGGTCCTCTAAGGCCAGCACTCTCTGCATCCAAAGGTTCAGCTCCAGGGTCATCACCTCCATAGAGTTTCCCATCTTCCCTCCTGCCCGCTCAGCTAAAGCCAATCTGAATCCATTGTCAACTTCTCTTAGACTGATGTGTCTGAACCTCTCCTTCATTATTGACATGTATTTTGTATGACAGCTACGTATGTATGTGCTGCGGCACTCTCTCCATTAGACAGTAAGCTCCTTGAGGGCAGAGGCTGTGCCATTCTTCATCCTTTATCCCCAGGACCTAGCACAGCTCCTTAGCCAGAATGAGGGCCTCCTTGCAAATGTCCCTCAGATCTGAGGAGCCTTCCCAAAGAGAGCTGGCCCCAAAGGGCTCCGTCAGTAACTGAGCTCCCCCTTCAAGAACCTAAGCAGAGGCTAGCTGGTTCCAGGCTCCAGGAGAGCATGGGGCAGATCCCGCCTCGGGCAGACCTCAGAACCCTTCTGCTGTGGATTCCCTGCATGAAGCGGTCTCTGCCCGTTCATTCATCACACAGGGCTGGTCAGACACCCTCTCACCACGCCCCCCCCCCCCCCCCGGCCCCAGGGAGTGCCCTGAACTCTCAGGGAATCCATGACGGACAAGTCCAAGAAAGAAGAGAGAAGCGGGGAAAGAGGGGGACAAGAAAGGAAGGGAAGGCAGCCCCAAACAGAAGGGCAGACACTGTTCACTTGAGTCTATCCCCAGCACTTAGCCTAGAGGCTGGCACATGGTGGACACCTGAAGGAAAAGGAGAAAGAAGGAAATAAGATGAAGAGCAGTGGGGTATAATGGACTGTTGGATGTGGAAATCAGGAAGCCCTGGGTTCAAATCCCAACCACAACACTTAACAGCTGAGTTACTTAATCTGAGAGTCAGTTTCTTCATCTGTTGCTGGTGTTCATGTCTGACTCTTTGTGACCCCATTTGTGGTTTTCTTGGCAGATCCTGGAGTGGTTTGCCATTTCCTTTTCCAGATCATTTTTACGGAAGAGGAAACTGAGACAAACAGGCTAAGTGACCTGCCCAGGGCCACACAGCTAGTAAGCGTGTGAGGTCAGATCTGAACTCGGGAAGATGAGTCTTCCTACTCCAGGCCCAGCACCCTATCCTCTGTGCCGCCTACCTGCCCTTCCTCATCTGTAAAATGAGGCTAATAATACCTGTAATACTAATAACTATCTCACTATAGCAAATGTGTCATGCAGTAGTCAGCTGCAGGACCTGGAGGTTCAGATTCTGTCTCTGACACACACTGGCTGTACGTCCCTGGGCAAATCACAGAATCTCTGTGGGGCCTCAGGCACCCCTGCGGGATTCACCCACTATGTCTTCAGTGATTCTGGGCTGCACTGGTGAAGGGAATTCCCACATCACACATGTTTCATGCCCAACTAAGAGAGGGGGTGGGAGTGTGGGGGTGGGTGTGTGTGTGTGCGCGCGCACGTGCGTGTCCCAGGACACCTCCTGCTGGGGGTGGGGGGGTCACCACAATGACTGATACCTTCCAAGGCCCTTCATCGCTGGGATGAGCTGGGCAATGAATAAGGGTCCAGCTGGATTTACAAACTATACTTTGTCAACAATAAATTCCTACAAGGGGTGGGGAGTAAGGGTGTAGAAGGTTCTTACAAAACTTCACCAATTACATCAAGTGCCCAATACCCTTTAGGGAATAAGAGACAGACTTTTTCTCCTTTAATGATTCATAGATCAGACTTGAGAAAAAAAGCAGAGTGGTGTGACAGAGCACTGGCCTAATTAAATAGCCACTGAGATCCCTCCCAATGCTAAAATTCTGCAATTCCATAACTAGCAGTAAAGAAGACCTTTGCAAGTTCACACAACCACCGTAGACCTCAACGTTCTCATCTCTAAAATGAGGTAATAGACTCAGATCCCCTAATAGGACGGTTGTTCACAATTTGGAAACTGTAAATCCCTATACAACTAAGTATTAATACAGGTATCGTCATAGCCATGGAAAGAACTCCTGTCATACCTAACAATCTCAAGAGGATGGCAGTCTTAACCTAGAGAGAATGATTCTCTGGGGTCATGATGAAAGCTACTGATTCTCACCCACTTACCCACAGGCTGACCCTGAACACAATCTCATACCGGCACCAAAGTTATTTCTTGGCTTCAGTCACTCCGGACTCGTGGGGTTTTTCCTGGCCTTGGCCTGAGGTGTTGGTGCCTCTGTGTGGACAAGACCCCGCCCCACACCCCCAATCAAAAAACAAGTCTCTGTAGATTTGGGGGAAAGTCCAACCTGACTGGAGTCAGAACAACCAACATCTAACTGAGCTGCAGATGAGAAGTGGAGATGCGCCTCCCTAAGTGTGGAAGCAGTAATTCTGAAGGCGGGGTAGAGAGCTAGGAAATCTGGACCAAGCCGGGCTGTGGGAGCGGGCAGCTTCTGATTCCAAGGTCCAGAGCTATGAAGGAATGGTTGGGCAGGGGGTGCTTCAAGGGGAGTGGGAGAGAGCAAAGAGGAAAAGAAAGTGAGGAGCGTTATGAGTGAGTGAGAAAGATGTGACCTGTCCTGATAAGGGAAAGAAGGAATTTCTCTGAGCAGAGCAGAACCATCCAGGTTCACTGTCAGTTCATAAAGCTGTGTAGGGTTCAGGTGACTGGACCGAGGGAATGAATACCGGCACCCACAGAGGAAGGAACTGATTTTCCAAGGACCTGGGCACTGAGGCAAAGAACAGAGCCTGGTGTGTGGACCAAGGCATAACAAGGAGCCACGGCGTGAAAGGAGAGTGAAGACAGGAGACAACTGGAGCGGCTATTGAGGCATTAAACCAAGGATGCCAAGGAGGCAAGGCCCTGAGCCGGTAACTCTCCTCACCTACATGAGACGACATGCCAACAGCTCCTCACCCTGTAATAAAAATAGCTGTGTATTTAAATGGACCTTGCCCATTCTGTCCTGCAGTAAAAAGGAGGGCTGGGAACAAGGCATACAGCCAGAGAGGAGAAGAGGTAAGAGAGGTATAGGGGTCATGAGTCCTAGGGGCACAGACTTAGGAGAAGAGAGGGGAGGGGAGAGAGAGGAAAGAGAGGAACTAGGTTGGAAACCACTGGTTGCAGCATAAGCGGTGTGGCTCCTCCACAGATCTAAATTCCCCTGGCTCTTAGGAGGTTAGTACACGAGTGGAAAGAGCGATGGAATTGGAGTCCGGAGACCCAAGGTTAAAACCCTGGCTGTTACTGACCGTGGGACCAGTCTCCTTTGTAAGATAAGAGAACAAGACGGAATGGCCTCTAACCTTCTTCCAGATCTAGACCCGAGGGTTCCCTCAGCAGGAGAGGACACCCAGTGACTGCAGTGAAACGTGGCCTGCATCTCAGGGAGAACCCAAGTTTAACTCCATCACTTACTACCTTCTGTTTCCTCATCCATGAAACTAACTGGGGTCGTACCAGATGACCTTTAAGGGCCCTTCCAGCTCTTAACTGATGGTTCTGTGACCATACTGATAGAAGAGAAGCTCCCTGCAGGTACGGTGTCACTTTCTATCTTTGTACCCAGCCCAGCGCCTTGCCCACAGTAGGCAGCGATTTCCCGCTCTCCATTCTCTGCTCTGAGTTTTAGCCCCCTACACTCACCCTCCCCCCCGCCCCGGCCCCCACCGGCAGCTACGGCTCACCATATCCACCCCCTCGGCAGAGAGCACCAATCCCTGACCTTGAAGTCAGGACACATGAAGCTGAACAAACAAGGGGGGTTAGGGCTGAGGGACGGGGATAAGGAAAAGTAGCAGCCAACAGCACTGAGGAAAGATGGAAAGGTTGGCTTCCCATGCCTGCAAAATGGGGATTCCATTTCCAAACGTGTCTCATCACTGGCACTATAAATACTCGAGCTAAATTCTGCTCTCTGCCCTCTACCTGCAAGGCCAGCAGCTACTTCTACCAACCCAACATTGGGCTGCCCCCCAACTCTCTGGAAGACCCTCATCTCCCCACTGGAACTGGGTGGTGGGGATGAGAAATGAGTCCTAGAAGATCTGAGGCCAGCATGATTCTCTGTACAAATGGCCTTCGAGGAGGAGATAATCAGCTATCAGTCACCACGCTGATGGCAGGGAACGGAACCCGACCCTACTCCCATGTGGATTTTACTAAGACACTGTCTTTGAGGTGAAGAGGAATCATTTAAACGAACATCTGATAGTAAAACAAGTTGCTTTCCCCAGGCAGGTGCACACAGATGGATGGACCTGGGTTTGGATCGCAGCTCTTCCACTGACTGACTACATGATAGCTGACAAGTCACCTCCCTGCAGGGACCTCTTTCCCCCTCTGTAAAAGTAGGGGCTGGACTAACGGGTCCTTCTGGCCCCTTCCAGTCCTAGACCCGGCTGTTCTATGAGCAGGGGCAGAAAGAACCAGAAGGCGGCCGTCTGAGCCAGGCTTTCCTTCCACCCAAAGGCCCCTGGCGTCTGGAGGCTCAGCAAGGGGACTAAGCACAGGACCTGCTTATCCATCCAGGCCCAGCCCCCCCCCCCCCGCTCCGAGGGGCACCCCTAGCTCTGAGAACCAGGGCTGGCTCTGGGGATCCTGAGGCTGGTTCTACTCCCACACACGGACAGGACAGAATTCCCTTTCCTCTTCCCTCCCTGCCAATTAAACCATTTCAGCAGCAACCTTGCTATTCATCCTCTGGGGAGGACAGCATCTGCCTTGAAGACCGCAGCAAGCCTGACACCTAAGGCTCTGGCTGCCAGCGTGGCTGCCCAGAGGCCCCAGACCCTGCCCCTGATCTCAGCTCTAAGCAGCCCTGGGCAAACGAGGCTTAAAGAAGGAACGCACAGACCCGGGGGGAGACTGCGGCCATTCAGCTGCCCTTTGCAAACGTGAACAGGAACAAGTGACACGCACAAACCTGGATAATTTGAGATTGATACAAATCTAAAAAGAAGCAGCTGTAGGAGGACAGGGGCACATGAAACAGAAACTAGTACCTAGTGCCTTCAAGAAGACCGGTTCAATCCCATCAACACACAAACACAAGGCTATTAGGTTCAATAAAGCGGGACCTCTAAGGCTCGGCAGCCCTTTGCCAGCCACTGGTTTGGATTACTGTGTGCTCCTCCTGGGAGTTCTAAAAGTCTGTTTTCTTTTTCAAATACTCTACAATTAGGACTTGTCAATAATTCAGACGGCAGATCCTCCCCTAAACCCAGTTAAGGAGACTTTACAAGTCCCACCCTTAACACAACCCCACCCCAAGATGTGCTGGGGCCACAGGAGACCCTGACCTCAGCCAGGGGCGCACGTGTGCCCCCAAGACCAAGCAAGTCCTACCTCTGCTAACCTGGCCACCCCCAGGCTACCAGGCAAGGAGGAGAGGAATGTTTTTATATTAAAATGGAAGCCTTCCCACAGGAAGGGAAAAGAAGACCCCCCCCCAACACACACACACACACAAACTGAATCTCAGACTTGCATTTGCTCCCCCAGACCCCGGGGCCTCTGTGGAGAAGAGAAGGGACTCCATCTTGAGCGTAATCTTTTTTGGGTTCAAGAACATGATTCACCTGTGCTGTTCTCAGATCGGAGGCTCTTCTTGGCAACTTCAGCCAGGGCCCCAAAGCCCAGACCAACAGCTAGACCTGGAACAAGAACAAAAACACAGCGCATGTCATGATGGCGATGACAGACAATAGCGACCACCACTACTGATCTTCACATAGTGCTTTAAAGCTTGTGCACAGTGCTTCTCTCCTCACTAGATAATCAGATATTATCATCCCCATTTCAGAGGTGGGAAAACTGAAGCTCTGAGAGGTCAGACTTATCCACAGGCCACACAGGCTAGTGGTGCCAGGGCTCCCGGCACCAAGTCAGTTCTACTCTGGCCAGGCCAGCACGTGTGACAAGGAAGCTCCGTGTCAGGTATCCCTGAGTTAGCCCATCAGTCGCTCAAAACACTTTAAAAAATAAAGATCTTTTTTATTTATAAGCAGCCCTGCTCCTCTGTGCCCCAGGCAAATACATTCTGCTTATTTGCCTCTCTCCAATTCCCTTCATCTGACCACAGAACTAAGGAGTTTCAAACTTCATACAAATAAAAAACCAGATGTAACCATTCCTTACAATCCAGGTATCACTGAGAAGGCACCTGAAGAATGTTAAGACTGACCAGGGTAAAACACAAACACACACACACACACACACACACACACATACAATGGCCTTTTTGATGTCACTGAGCCCTTTGGTAAAGTCTCAGAAAAACTCTGGACCCTTCTCAGAATCACACTTTTGGAAGCATGAAATAAAGTATATAGCATTACAAAGGAAACCAATTATACTGAAACATCATTGTCAAAATGTTTTTAAAAACCAAGTTATGGACCTCAGGTTAAGGTGTTCTATGCTAAGGAGGCCGGGGGAGTCTGTTCTAGAGAAAAATAATGAAAATGATCATTGCTGCTTAATTGGGGACCCAAATCAGTAGGAATCAGTATTTCCTCACATGGTAGACCCAGAAAAAACCATCTTCACTCACTCCAGTCTATACAGCTTTAGAGTGTTACGACAACCCAGGCTTTTCCATGGCACCTGCCTCCTCAAGTTCCCTTTCCCCAACCAAGCTTCTTAAAGGGTACGATGATATTAAAATGAACTTAACCAACAAATTTTCCTTTCCTGCTGAAGTAGTCTAAGCTGTCCCTTTCCCTAAGTACACTCACTAGGGTCAGTTTCTAGAACTATCTTACCAACAGAGAACCCACCCCAGCCCACCCCAGTGCTTTTTTGGTTGTTGTTTGCTGTTCAGTCGTGACCCCATTTGGGGTTTTCTTGGCAGAGATACTGGAGTGGTTTGCCATTTCCTTCTCCAGCTCATTTTACAGATGAGCAAAATGAGGCAAACAAGGTCAAGTGACTTGCCCAAGGTCACACAGCTAGTAAGTGTCGGAGGCCAGATTTGAACTCAGGAAGATGAGTCTTCCTGACTGACTCCAGGCCCGACACTCTATCCGCTGCAACACTTAGCTGCCCCAATGCTTAGGAAAAGTTGTTTTGTTTTGTTTTTGTTAAGGAAACTCCTAAAAGTCTCCAAGGATGATGACAAGGATTCCATGTCCTCTTTCTTCAACACCATTCAGTGTTGCCTCCCATTAACTCGAGGGGTAGGCTGGAAGGCTCCAATAATCTTCTGAAAAAAAGACTAATTTCTTAGACAGCTAGTCAGGCAGACTCATCTTCATTCAAATCCCGCCTCAGACACTCACTAGCTGTGTGACCCTGGCCAAATCACTTCACTGTCTTCTCATCTACACGACAAGCCAGAGAAGGAAATGGCAAACCGCTCCCAAATGGAGTCGCCAAGAGGCGGATACGACTGAACAACCAAAAGTAATTTCTATAAAATACATGGGACGCCATTCTTGGGACTGGGGCAGGTACGGGTCACAAAATTTAAAAAGTGACACTGACTGACACTCCAAAAATGTCACCACTCATATCCTCCCCACTTCCTACTGATGCTCCCATCACTCATTCCCTTTGTCCTCCGCTCGATTCGGTCCTGAAAAGAAAAACTTGAGCCAGTCACAGTGCTGAGGGACAGGCATTCCCCACTCCCCCTCCTTCCTGCATACAGCAATGAGCTACAGAGGTCAACAGGAGGGAGCACATTAAAGCTGCTCCCTTCCCCATGTGTCTTTATATACACACTCCGTAGACGACAAACTCACAGGACCTTGGAGGATTCTACAGATGAGAAGACTGAGAACCAGAGAGTAACCTGCCCAAGGTCTCACATCTACTTTACCAGAATTTTAACAATTCTATCCTTAAACACTGCAAGTGTTTGAGCAAGCCCAAAATATGAAAATTCCTTTTTATATGGAAAAGGTACATCGGGGGCAATCATTGCCTTTATAAATTTAACCTTCAGTAGACAGTTTCTCAAATGGAAATATGATTCAGTTTATTAAAATGAGACAGATGCAACATCTACTGATTAAAAACAATATGTGCCTATAAAAGATGAAGTCAGGGATGGGAGGGTGGAAGAAAAGTTTGGATAAAAGACTTGTAAGGTTTTCTCAGAACCAGTCTCCTGGAGGATGAGAACAGCGAACTCAGACATCAGGATCACAGGCCAGAGCAAGAAGAGACCTTAGCTGTCCCCAGCTCCCTCTAAACCTCAGCTCTGTTTTTTTCTACCTGAAGCGAGGGGGAGAGAAGACACAGAGAGACAGACAGACAGACACCTCACTTAGCCTGAGGTCATTTCTTTATGCAGCAACTTCATCTCCCCAGAATACAATCCACAACAGCTCCATCTCTTGCACCTGTCCAGGTCTCCATTCCCACAGCCACCACCTGAGCTCAGACCCTCACTGCCTCCTCCCACCCACACCCACCAGCAATGACCCTTAAGCTGCCCTACCTAGTAGACTCCAGTGGCTTCCTATTCCTCTAGGCTAAGAGAGAAAGTCCTGAGTAGGGCTTTCAAAGCCTTCTCCCACCCCAGGTGGCACACCACTGCCCTTCCTTAAGGACTCTGTGATCCAGCCAAAGTGACCTTCTCACTGTTCCCCATCCCTCTCCCTTTTCCCATCATTATCATTATCAAACCTACACAGCACTTTAAGGTTTGCAAAGCACTTCACGAAAAGTATCTTTGATCCTCACAATAACCCAGAGAGGTGGGTACTATTATTATTCCCATTTTAGAGATAAGGATACTGACGCAGAGGTTGAATGACTCACCTAGACACCACAACCCTTAAGTATCTGAGGCCAGATTTGAATTCAGATCTTCCTAACACTATGCCTTTGCACCGGCTGTCCCTCACACCTAGAGGTAGTCCCTTCTTGCCTCTGCCACACAGAATCCATCACTCAGCAGCACCTTCTACACGAATCCCTTCCCAATCCTTCACCTGCAGTGTCTGCCCTCCCCAACTATCCTGTAGTTAACTACCCTCTATTTCATTTATATTTGTGCTGCATATACTCATGTACGTCCTTGTCTCTCTCCCTTTCAGAAAGTGAGCTCCCTGGATGCAGGGACTGTTCCTTTCTGTCTTTGTACCATCCCGTGCCTAGGACACTGCCTGGCACTACTGGATGCTTCATATCCAACCGCCTGCTGGTTGGCTGATAAGAAAAGGGGCCTTGAAGGACCCAAGTAAGGTGTTGGTGATCACGCTCCCCAGCGGGAGCTCCTCACTCGGGGCCCATCTATTCTCACTTGACTCACAGTTCCAACAAGCTGGGCTGCTCCAGTTTCTTGAACACTACAATCAGAAGCAGTAAAAACCAAAGTCCAACGAGGCCCCTTGAAAAGTGGCTAACGCTGAGCCCTGACAGAGCTAGGAGGGGAGGTGAGCATGGGAAAAACAACCTGGCACCACTGTAGGAGGAGGAACAGCCAGGGGGCCAGTGCGGCCAGAGCACAGAGCGCATGGATGTGAGGCATCACGGGCCAAGAAAGACAGGCTAGAGAGAGCCAGGATGTGCAAACACAGGGCTCTGAGTTTTATCCTAGAGACAAGGCAGAGCCACTGGGCTCCCGAGGGGGACAATAACATGGTCAGAGCTCCATTTCAGAAATATAATCTGGCAGCTGTGAGAACTGTTTTTCTTCTGAACTTTAGTTTTCTTATCTGCAGAAGAAACTGTTTGAACTCAATCTCTAAGGTCTTCTAAATCCTATGAAATCAGAAAGAACTGCTAAAGGCAGCAACACAAGAGGAAAGCACGACCCTGGGGAGGAGACAGAAAAACTAAAAAGAGCACGCACTGGAGTACTGTAAGGGTGTTAATGTAGGGCACCCTCACATAACCCAAAAGAGTTCTAAGGATGTCACTTTATCACTGCACAACATAATAACATTTCCAAATGAAGACTCTGGGTCACTGAGAAGTTAAATCATGTTCAGGACCTCTGTTAAAGAAGTCTGGAGAGTACGTAATACATTTTCAGAGAATTTGATTCAAAATAGCTAGCATTAAAGTTTGGGAAAAAACAAGTTATCTGAAAAACTAACTCAGATGAGGGGCACCTCAGTCCAGGACTAGCACAAAAATGTTTGCACAACCAGATGACCTCTAAGGCACTGCCAGGCTTTGATTTCCTATTGCCTTCTATGAACAAAGGCAAGCTATCGAATCAACTTCTTTAAGAGCAGAAGGCCTATTACTCCCAATGCCTCTAGCCCTCTCCTTCACAACCCATTCATATTTAGAAAGATATGGCTTAAGTTGGTACAAGCTGCTCCCTCAGGCCAGGCCAGGTCAGGCCAGGCCACTCTCAGCTTGCCGCACTAGCTGTCAGCCTGATCCCCACCTGTCTTGGCTCACTGTGGCTTGCAGCTGCCTGTGGACGCTGGGCAGGACGGACAGCGGCCCTACGTGGTCTGGCGTCCCCGATTAGACATTAACTCCAATTTTCTCTCTCCTCTTCTGTTCCCCCAGCTGCCTGTCTTATCAAAATAAAGTGCAGAGGCAGAGTTAACCATCAAATAGCTTGTGCCTTAGCCAATTTCTTCTCAAATGCAAAGACAAACTCTCCCACATAAACAAGGCAGCTCCAGTCTGACAAGATGAGGCTACCTTGAGATGCTGTAGAATGTATTACGTGGACTAGAGA